AGAGTTTCTGGGGCAGACTGTTGTCCACTTGGTAAGCAGAGAACTTCTTTAAACCACTTTTTCATATTTTAAAAGTGAAACAAAGAGAAGAAGWAACTTGTCAAAGATGGTACCTAAAAATTTGGATTTATAAATGTGCAAGTCAAGTGATCTTCCCCAAACCACCCTCATATAAAGTTTGTCAGTGAAGTACCTAGTAACTAAGATCAGAAACTTTAAGTAAAGATAACTTTAGCTTATATATATTTTTAATGTGTGATTATCTCAATGTGGTTGCTTGCATTAATGTATTATATTTAGGCCAGATTTACTAAGTAAGCAGGCTACAGTTAGAGTAAAAATATTGACTTATGCTAGATAGGTAATATTGGTAATTTATTGAATTGTTTTATATTAATAAAGAACCAAAGAAAATAGTAATTTACTAAGTGAATATTAGTTAAAAATTCACATATATGATTCTTCAGATCTGATAAACTATATTCCTGTTCACAGAGATCTATAAATATTTTTTTTTACTTATTTCCTGAATGGCCACAGCATATAAAAGACTTACTGGTTACTAAATTTAAATTTCAAGTTATAGATAAACAGCTTTTGTATTGTGTATAATTCATCATTGCATTTCTAACATCACTATGAGCAATAGAGAATTCCTAGTTAGCTCCTGAAGGTTTAGGCATCTGCCATTATCAGGAACAATGGGACTGGCTCCTGAATGAGGTAGGTCATGCATTGTACAGCACAGACATGTTTTGAAAAGAACAAGAGAATCTCAGGGGAATTTAACTGTCTGCACATCCTTGCATTTGAGCTAGTTATATGCCTGCATAGATGCTAAGATGTCTGTAAAAATTCGAGAGGAAAAAGTTTAAATTCAATGCTCTTTTCCTGTAAGTTTTGATAAACCATTACCTAGAACAACAACAACAACAAAAGTGATTTTTGCTTTCTGCTGTAGTTGTTATATARTAACGTTTTATTTTTAAACTTTCAAATATTTGTTTTGCTATGTACTAGCAATATCGTGGATAGTGCTTAGGAGAATCATTAGTCATCATAAAATGAAGTGTGACAGAATGAAAAAAAATTAGTATTAATTTTTGATGACATTTCAAGTATATGTATATAAAATTATGACAATTTGTGATTTTAACAAATTCTTTATAGACCATTGTACATATGAATGAACCTTTCTGTGAATGAGGCTGAGGCTACCTTGTAAAGGTGTCCAAAGAGAAGTCACTGGATGCAAATCAAAGCCTAGAATTCAGGCTCACTGGGGGTTGCAAACATTTGAAAGTGAATGGGGAGAGTAAAAGAGCAAATTATATTTTAGATACCCAGATTCCATAATATACTATTAAAGGCACTGATGCTAGCTTTCATATATCATGATTTTAAATACTGTTGCTCTATTGATGTAACAAAGTGTCTGGGAATTCAATGATCAACTCAGTCCTGAGATTACTTTGGGGCCATCTTTACTGAGGTCACCTTTCTATTTCTGGGCATGGAGAGAGATGTATTATAGGTGTTGAATTGTTGGCATAATCAGTTTGACATTCTTATTTGAAAATTTCTTTTGTATTATTATTTTATTTTTTTAAATTTTGCTGGGCAGAGAGCTTCTCCTTGAGGGGATGCTTCTCTCCTGGTTGCCAGTCACATGGCGTTGTTGTGTCTTGGCTTCAGCTGACCTGGGTCCTAGCTCCAGGCATAGACAAACAATTTCTTACAAACACTGGGGTCTCTTGCTTGCCCTTAAGGAAGTCCTTCATCTTATGACAATTCTGATACTTATACTTTTTTTTTTTTGGCTCTTTTGAAACTACTTTTTTTTTTTTTTTTGGTGGTGCTGGAGATTGAAGCCAGGGCCTTGTGCATGCAAAGCAAGCACCCTATGAATGGARCTATAGGCCCAGCTCGAAACTAATTTACATTTTCTATCAGAAAGCCATTGTCTCCCATGATCCATCATGCATCCAGAGTGAGAGATGAAAAAAAATCATTTACTGATAAGGTCATTTGCAGACAAAAAGCAAATATYTGTTGCTTTTAGCCCACTTTAATAACTTCAAAACATTGTTTAAAAATGAAAATTTGAGCACATGCCAGTAATCTCAGCAGCTCAGGAGGCTGAGGCAGGAGGATCAGGAGTTCAAAGCCAGTCTCAGCAAAAGCGACACACTAAGCAACTCAGTAAGACTCTGTTTCTAAATCAAATACAAAATAGGACTGGGGATGTGGCCCAGTGGTCGAGTGCCCCTGAGTTCAATTCCCAGTACCAAAAGAAAAAAAAAAAAAAAAGAAAAGAAAATTTGTGGCAAGTTTTAAATTTATATTCCCTACTATGCTATGTGGGAGGGGGGGGGGACTATCAAGGGAATTCCTCCTGTGCTCTCCAAAAAGAGTATCCAATGCTTTTAAATTCTACACGTAAGAATACTCAAACCAGTCTCCCAAAATTTAATGATGAGCCACCCAGATGATTTTTAGTGACGGAGACTCTTGCTTACCTGGTTATTCAGACTYCTTTAAAACATCATATTTAAAAAGAGTATTTTTCCTAAACCAAGCAACTACCAGAATAACTGTTGAGCAGCCTTAGGTAAGAGGTGAGGCCACCTTAAACTGATATAATTCCAGCCTAAAACATCAGAATCTACATTTTAGGAAATTTGTGCAACCATATTGAGGAGTCAGTTATTCCTACAATATGCAGTACTAAATTAAAATACTAAAATTATGAGGTGGCTTTCCCAATAATGGTTTCAAGGATTTGGTGGATTTTAAAGCATCATTGAAATTAAAGACAATAGAAGTTTACAGATATATGGAAATCATATCCAGGTTTTGTTTTRCAAACTACTGGCATTCCTTCCCAAAGACAGACATTTCACAATAGGTCTGGGTTACACACAAGTATCTGGGAGTTAGATGACWTGAAAGAGGAAAGTAAGTCCAAATCAGAATCCTAGTTCTACAGGCATCTGGAGAAGATAATGGGGTCATAAGCCAATGGAGATCGCATTTAACCTTAAGTGCTACACAAGAGTGCCCTGAAATGTATATCCAAATGAAATCTTAATTCCTCTATGCTAACATTACACTTAATTTGCTCTTGTGGGATAGGTATTGCTTTTTTAATCATATAGACATTATTTTATTGCATTTCTTTCTCTACACTGGACTGGGAGTACCTGGAGGACAGACAGCTCCTTGATCATAGCCACACCCAGTGATCCTCTTTGACATGGTTTCCAAGGCCRAAATACACCTCTACTGCCCTCAGACTTTGTCAGTTTTCCATTTTCTGTGCAAAACACCAACAGTGTGTGTTTCTTGTGGACATCTAGATTATAGTGAGACTCACAGGAACTCTACAAGACAGATTTACTAGTTGCTTATGGCCCAGTAATAATTAATATAGTTAGAGGTAATACAAGGAAACATTAAGTGATAGGGTGCATATAGTTGTAATTATTTTGGAATTCTACTTTCTTAAGTAGAGTGGTTTTAATAGTATTTAAAATCCTTCCAAGGGCTAAATTTTTGGATTCTACAAGATTTGTGCTTACTGTGGTAGTGGAAGTTCCCTTTTCCAAGAAAACAATACTACAAATATTTAGACTATTCTTAAGACTAATGAAAATCAAAGAAGGTGAGACGTTAGAGGAAGGTGTACTACCTATTAAGATGAAATAATTTTATTTAATAAATTCTGGTGCATTTAAGCAACATAATGGGAAAATACTCATTCTAGTAAAGCTCATTTTGAGAGCATTTTCAGGGCTCATACCATGGACTAGATATAGATAAAGCTCTCATGAATTTTTTTTCCAATACACCAGGAAACTGGTAGAATAATCCTTGGGTAGACTGGTACGGTAAATGCTGGTCAAGCCCTTTATAGGTCCTAAAATGATCTTTATTAGTAATGTAAACCCTAGGTCACAGATTATTGCAAAGAAATCCGGGAATTTCCCAAGAARTGAGAATATTTATTTTGTCTCCATGGCTTTCACCAGTTGCAAAAACTGAGACCAAAATCATTTGGGAAAACCATGTTTCCAATATTCTTTTCAATTTGCTTCTGTGGCAATTTAGTCAAACAACCTGCTTGGAAATAAGCTATTTGCAGAACCGAGGTGGGGGAAAACCTGCCACAGTATATAATTCACTGAGTAGGTTTTGGCTCCCACTCTGCCAATCCATTTTAAATAGTGGCCACTGCCCTGCATCTAGCAATACATATGATCAAGCAATTTAGCACAAAAAGAGAAAGGCCCCACGACTTGGCATCGTTGTGGACATTTATCTTTGAGAAAACCAAATGGATCCAACTTTTGCCAGAGTTTAAWAGCAAAGCTGTCACATTTTACACAAATGAGTATCCAGTCTGTTAGCGAATGGCAAGAGGGAATGGGGAGGAGGGGAGAGAAGGAGTGGGACTGCTGACTGGACTGTTTTCAAAGTGGCTCTAGTTTTTAGGGGAGGGGCTGGGGATGCTCCGCTGGCAGGAGAGACGAAGTAGTTAAAAATTATTACTAGCTAGGGGCCGGAACCTTGGGATGTGGGTATATAAGACCCGGCTTCCAGCGCAGAGCCGCTGCTGCTGCTGCTGCTGCTGCTGCTGCGAGAGCCGCTATCAGAGCGCAGGGGTTCAGCCGCTCAGTATCTAGAGGCCAAAGGAGAGAAGCAGGGGTAACTGTCGGGTCCAAACTGGGGTTCCCGCTTCACCTCTGGAACAGATACAGGACCTCCTAACTTCTGTCCCCTAACCCCCAAACGCGCACCCCTGAAGTTCTGCGCTCTAGTTCAACACACCCGCGCGTGGCACAGACACACGCCTGGCGACAGGTCCTTGCCCAGGGCGATGCCTGGAAGAGTCCTGGAGGCTGGGTTCGGGCGGAGGGATTAGGACCCAGCGGGGAGACAGAAAGGCTGCGGAGTTAGAACCGCCCGCCGCACCACGGGCGKAGGCTGCCTGGGCTCCACGCACACCTGCTGCTGCCGCTTTGCCGCGATGATCCGGGTGGTCTCACTGCTCCTGGGTGCAGCGCTCCTCTGCAGCCACGGAGCCTTCTGCCGCCGGGTGGTCAGCGGTGAGTCAGGGGGCCGCCAGCCAAGCGGACTGCATGGGACAAGGGACCATGAGGCACCGTGGGCAGCCTGTCCCAGGGTGGAGCCGGTCTCAAAGGTTGGAAACCTGTACGGGGTGGGGGATCGGAAAGAGATGGGGGAAAATGGATGGTTTTATTCTTACTCTTTTTCTTCCAAACACATAGGAAAAAAGTTTAATTTTTTTCTTAGTGTCTAGCCCAGAAGCTGCGGAGCAAACTCTTGCTAAATAATGAAAGGTAGACTCTTTTGCAGGAGTGATTTCCACTTTCTTTGTAAGACAGTTGACCACAAGGCAGGGTTGGGCACCTGCAAAAGGGGCGGGGTAGGGTGGAGGCCCATGGATCCTGGAAACTGAGGAGCTACCACAGAAATGCCACCCCCTGTTGGCCTGACTCCACGTCAGTTCCCTCACCATATTCACAGGGGTGATTTCTGAGACCAGACCAGTTCTGTGCTGGTCGCTCACGGATGCCTGTGCAAAGCAGCCTTTGTTCTCAGCAGGCCAGGCAAGGAATGAGGGACAGGTTGTTCTGCACAGAAGCCTTTCCTTTGCACACCTCTTTCCAAGTTAAAGGCCTCAGAAAATTAAGTCAGCTGGAGTTGGATYGAGGTGTATTTGGTAACCACTGCAGGTTCGTGCATACAGAAGGTATAAAATTAAGTTTGTCAAATTAGTGCAAGGGAAATAGATAAAATTGGCAAGCTTCCCAGCTTTATCTCTGATTTTTCTTTTTCGACGTTCACTGTCTTGTTGAGCTATTTATATGTCAAATAAATAGCTCCCTTCCATTTTTTTTTTTTGGGGGAAAAAGACTCAAAATATATGTAGATTCTTAGTGGTTAGGATGATGTGAATAGGGCCCTACTTGAAGGTTGAACATAGCCATGTTGGTCATTGTAGAATTACCTTGCTGTGCTTATTAAACTGTTACAATAAACATTTGTTGGATGCACATGGGCATGTATTTTAAGGGTGAAAGGGCCTTTTTTTTTTCTTTTTACATAAAAAGGACTTACCTCCCTTTTCATATCTTGTGCATCTGTACAACAGGTGTCACTAGATGTAGAGATAGATGACAGCAACTTAATCAGTTGTGAAGCCGGACCTGTAGAACATGGCACATTAAACTTAATTGTTACTGATCTTCCCTTCAGCAATGAGTGTTGTTCCACAATGACAGAATATAATTCTGGAAAGTGTGCTTATCAATCACTCTCCACTAACTCTTTTTCAGGAAGTACAGAAGCTATGATATTAGATCACCCCCCCCCAATTTTTGCTGAGAATAAAAAGTTCACTGCAAGGAACTACCTAACAGTTTAAATTACATATTTGCCTGTATCAACAAGAAAWTTTCATGAAAATGAACGAGTATCAGAGACCATGCTTTGAGCATGAGGTGTTTTTTAAACAAATAGAAACACTTTCTTGACTTAAAAAATAATTTTCAATGTGTTCTTGTTTACATGCCTTAAAATTTAAAGGAAGGAAAAAGATTCCTAAAGTAAAAATAAAACTTAATGAAATTGCTGACAAAAAGTTTATTTTGTGTTCTTTCAGTACATAAATAATTCCAAACCTTTCATTCTATTTTCCTATTAAGAATTTATAGGCATCTTGAAGGTGACATCTGGAAAATTTCTAATTAACTGAACATGATCTATTTGATTTAATATAAATGATGATGTTTACTTGATATTAAGACAATTACTTGGTTGTGTTTTTCTTATGTGTAATTAGATTGTCTTTAGTCATAAAATTCACATTTGAAATTTAAACATCTGTAAATTGATTTGTGACTTTCATGCTTTGACAATTTGTTTTCCAAAAGATAAACTTCAGCCATGATGAGTTGAGCAGAGAGCAGCCAAATGCTTGTCATCTTTGAAGCAGGGTTTCCTAACAGGTCTGCTGGTATGCCCTGACCTTCTCATGCCACTGGGACCATTAACTAAATCTCTTCTAAAGTGTCTGAGGAGAACTGAAGAAGCCTCTTTGGGGCCATTTTATTTGGAACATACATCATATGAAATAAAGTTTCTATTTATTAAATTTCAATAAAATACTTCATAATTTCTAGGTAGCACACTAAAATATCCCTCAAAAAACACTCTCACAAAATAATTCTTCATAGAGATTTGTTAGTTTAATATTTAAAGATATTCAATAATATACTTTCCAATAGTACTAAATACATTATTTTTAAAGTTCAGAACATTATTTAAAAATAAGATGAAATTATTTTAGTAAACAAATACCATTTAAAACAACTTCATCATTATATTCTACCCATAAGATTTAGTAGCATAGAAGAGTGATAAGGAACTATTTTAATTCATGAATAAACTATATATATATATATATATATATATATATATATAACTGTGGTGATAGTAATTAAAGAGTATTTGTGGAATTTATGTTCTAAGTGAGGAAGTATTTTGAGGAACTTAGACATGGACTGATTTCCAACTAGACACAGATGTGTAGAGAATATTTGTGGGGGATGAATTTATTTAATTTTGTAATGTTACTAGTAAGTAGTGACATCTTTAAAACAAAGGTAAGAGAATTTTACCTGTGCTTCATGGATACATATGAAAAACGAGGCTGAAAATTCGGGCCTCTAAGTTGCCAGAATATGTCTAAGAACAAGCAACATTTTTAAACATTTGAAGTATTTTTAAATAATGCATTTATTTATTTATTTATTTATTTATTTATTTATTTATTTATTTATTTAACTTATACTTTCTTTTTTCTATGCACACAGCATTGGTCCCTAGCCTGCTTATGCTGTAAAATGGCATTAAGTGTATTTCATGGCACCTCCAGATTTCTCCCAAATACTTTAAAGTTATTAGTTTAATCTTATTACAACTGCCATATCATTTATTTCAGAGACAGGGTGATTTAGAAGCTTCTATTTCTATCTTGCAGATAACATAGAGTATTKCAAATTCATTGTTGGTGAGAAGAAWACTATAGGTTAGTATAATAGTAAAGGAGATACAAGAGAACTGCTGGGTGTATCTCAGCCTGTGCAACAATTTCATGACATCATCAAAAGCAAAAAAAATGATGACCATGCAGTTTCCAAATGCAATTACTTTAAGTATCTCTTGGACAGGGAGGGAACAAATTAATTTCATTACTAGTCATTTAATAAACTACCCATTTATCAAAATCATTCTTCCTTAACTGCCGTTTGTCATAATTTTATAGTTTTGGTTTTGCCACTTTTTCCTAAAGATGGAAATTCCTATACATTAATGTTAGAAAAGAGGCAGTAACAGATAAAGAGATACAGAGGGTAATCCAGCTGATGCTTTGCCAATAATTTTTACTCTTTCCAACTGCCTTTTGTGTCAGGCAGTTGCACACAGTGGATGGGTGTACACAGCTGTGAGGCAAGATTGCTTCTCTCACCATTTTAGCATATCATTGAAAATCTAACACAAATATAACTTGGCGAGTTACTTTATTTTGGGAATACATTTAGTTTGGGTCTAATTTGTTTTGTTTAGCATATWAAAGGGCTAGATTAAACTTCATTAAGTACATATATGATTTGAAAAGTCTGAGACAACATGTATTCCAATATTAACTCTGGTCTAAATTCACTAAAAGTAAATTCAAAGGCTACCTAGAAAAAAGTTCTTAATGCACAAAACTTTCCATCCACTAATCAATAATTGTAATCAATAATTGATCAATGCTAGTGATTACAATAGATAACATGCACAATGTATATCTTTGTATCTTCAGTATCTTTGTTCATGAAATATTTCATTGGTATCTTTTGTTTGAGATAAATATGGAGACAACATCAAAATCAGGTTAAATGAATTGCAGAGCCTGAAAGGTGGTTTAACCCCCTGCTTTGACACTTGTGATGTGTGGGAAATTGGGAAAATCATTAACTTCTCTGCCTCCTTTGTCTCATTTTAAAAATGATGAAAACACCTACATCATAGGTGTGCCTGGAGAACTAAATGGTTTCAAACACAGTTGTGCAAATTGTGCTGTGCTCAGAAATGCATATCAAGAAGATAAGAGGAACAAAGATTGGTAAGTGCTGTGCCTAAAGAGGAAGCTTCCTAGAGACGAAGGAAACACTTCCTGGTTGAACAGGTGGTAAGGGGGACTTCTTAGCCATCCAGCGTAAGGAGAGATCATGTTTTCCTAATTTATCCAATTACATGGATTGAGATGGAAGTGAGGTACTGCACTCTAAATTATTGATAAATGGCAGGATGTGGTTATTATGTTATTTATACAAAACTCATAAACACTCTGATTTCTTTTTAGGAAAGAAAACTCAGGCCAGGAAAATTTAAGTAATTTCAATACCCATAACCCATGTGTACATTGGAAACTTGTTCTTTCTGATTAGAAGAGTGGACTCTTCAGTCACACACTGTTACATAATTTCGTTTATTACTCTAATCTCTATTTCAAATAACAGGATTTTGGAAAAAAAAACCCACTGAGTCTCATCCCTTTCTCAGAAAGCTTGTAGTATTTCCCAGCTGCAGAAGTAGGGCTTGCTTTTGCAACCAGCATCCATAAAATGACCCATGACTGCAGATTTGATTTTATATGAGTATGGTCTCCATCTGTAGTGCACTCTGTAACTAAGTGCATTATAAAATATCTGATGCAAAAACAAAGTTTCTATAATAAAATGTTTTACTTAAAATAAAAATTCTTAAGGGATTGGTGTACTGAGACCTAAAAGCAGAACACTTAAGCTTAATGGCATTCCCTTTCTCTTTAGTTAAAAAATATTGGCATGTTTCTCAGAGGTCATGCTATCCAGTACATTGTAGCATCAATATTAATTTTAGTGAGATTTTGAAGAAGGTAGGAAGGAATTATGAAAAATTATTTTATAGAATTCTGTTGAAATGTCCAAAGTTCAGTGCTGTTTTATATAGCTTTTTCGTAATTAGAGATAATGCATAATTAAAAGTAAGAATTTATAATATGTCTTCTATGTTTTGATTGAACAAATATGATCTAAATTCAATACTTACCTAACACTTATAGTATKTGATTATAGTGTGGGACATAAGAAAAGTTTTGCCACCTTCATAATTACTGTATATTCATCTATAAGAAAATAAATAATAAAAGCAAAATAAAATGAGCTAATCGATCCTTTCTATTCTGAAAGAAAAAAACAAATGCCATGACTTTAATGACTTTGGCCTTGCTTTTTACATCATTCCCCAAAGAACTTCAAAGCTCTGCCAATATTTAGCTCTACAGRAATTTTCATAACCAAGGAAAAACACAAGACCATCTATTAATGGTAATAGTAGCAGAATTTTAGTTGTGAGTGATAGGAATGTTTATTTTAGAAGCCATGACTAAGAATTATCTCCAAATAAAAGTATGTGTATATGTATCTGGGTGTATGTATGTGTGTATATATGTACAAATGAAATAATAGGGTGAATATTTCAGTACAGAAAAACTTAATTATATATTTCTTAGATTTAAACTGTATTAATCTCCTGGTGTGTATTCAGAGTATGCTAATGAAAATGAGTGCAATGACACTATCTTAGATTTTATTTTTCTCCATATATTTTTAAAAACTTGGGTGGAAGCTCTTTTATCTGTCTCTATATATAATCCCATAATTAAAGAATTTTTCCAACTACAGATACTGGGTTACAGTTATTTAGCGTTAGTATAAAGCTAATCTTAGTATAATAAAAAACACCATAATCGTTCTAGGAATACTTACCTTTCCCATAAAATATCAATGGAAGGTTTTAGTTGAATATTCATTTGAAAGTAAGAGACAGGGGAATTCTCCATGTGATCTCACAGAAAGAAGGAGGTAATCATAATTGTTCTCTAGGAAGATTAGCATTTACAGAAGTGGGAAAGTTGCTTCCAGAATATCTGCATTAACAGAAGGTTTCTGGGAATTAGGACAACATTTGTTTCCCAGCTGTTGGAGTTCCACAGTGATAGCAGCCAAATGGGATCAGTTGAAATGCAGCAAGAGGTTCAGAAGCTTCTGCTTCTGCTGATTTTGCTGCAACTTGGACAAAATTTGCACAATAARGTAGAAATCTGTGGTAAAATAGAATTGGATATAAAGAAATTCACAGTGTCAGCTTTAACTGAATATATGTAAACCATAAAAAAATTGTGTAATGTATCCATAATTTCTTGGAAATTGCCTTGCTAGTGGTTTTTTATTTCAAAACCTGAAGGCACAGTTAATATTTAGTCAATACCATTTGGAGTTCATATATCTGTTCCCATTTAAAATTGGCTACTGTCCTTATCCCCTGTGGTTCCTTTTCTGTGCAGCCATCACAATCTCCACTTCTTCATCCAGSACTCATGTACCATTCCATTATCCACAACCAAAGATTGCCTGCTGCAAAGAGTGTCAAGGCTCTCTGTTGGCCAGAGTCCATGTGATATTAGTTGTCAATTATTTTAAATATATTACCTGTCTATACAGTTTTTTATTATCATTTTATTTTTTCTATAAATTAACAGTAGTGTTAGGAGTTTCCATATGATACTTAAAGCTGTCCTCTACATTTTATTAGAACTGCTGTCTTAATTTTACAAATGAATTGATTCTCATCACTATTTTTGTATCCTCATCACTGGTTAATCATTCTGGCACTTGTTTTTTAATATATCGCAGGAAATCAGTTGTGATTTTTAGCATATAAATCATAGCCAGGCATCTCCTGATATAWGCTGGCTTTGTTACAAATAAATACAATTTTCTCATTAAAACATCTGACTTTTCTGGTTTTTTTTTTTAATTTGAAATCTTTTTGACATCTTATAAAACAATCTTCTTGGAAAATTTAACATTTCAAAAGTTYGGAATCAAATCCAAGTTTTGAAAGTTCTTGGATTAAAAAGTTAGACAAATTGGAAACTCAAGGGAATGTAGTTAAGACACACTTGGAGGCTCAGAAATATGTAAAGAATGTAGCAGATGAAAATAAACACGGATTGCTCTTAAAATACAAGCATAAAAATATGGGCTCAATAGCACAATAGGAACAACCATTTTAAACAATGAAATCATCACAAAATCTAATAATGTATAAGGATAAATTTTAAAACAATATTTATATTAGAGTCAACCATTGGAACTTCCATTATCTCATCTCAAAGATTATTTATTTTCAGACCAAAGCCTGAAGCTTCCTGCTGAAGTCTCTTTTACTTGTTTCCCAAGGTCATTCATATTTAGCATGTTATTTTTTGTTAACAGTGAGTTTAGTCAGTCTGTTAATTTGTTCATATTTTTCAGTATTCTGTTGCTGTTTCCAGATCACAGTTAATARGACAAAGGAGAAAATGGGCTGGCTTGCTGGCATTGCTGAAATCATTATTTTATGTTCTCAGCTTGTGTCAAGATTCTKAGTGCTTGTCACTCTGACACTGTTGTGAGGTTAATGGCCTTCTGCTGATTTCTGCTCCCTTCTGTCTGAGTGTTATCATAGGTCATTAATTGCTGATTCTGGGGAGCTGGGTGGATATGATATACTTGCTCAGTGTGCTGTACTGTAATTAAGAGTATAAATTTTGAAAGCTGTATGATTTTTACAAGTATTGAAGTATGTAACACCCTCTAAACCCAAACTACTGATAGTTTAGAGAAATAGTTGAAAAAGGCCTTCAAACCCAACAAGAGTAATGTTTATGCAGATGAACTGTAAGAAAGTAGTAAAAATATCTTAACTGATTAGAAAAGTATTTTGACTTAGTTTTACATAAAATACTAAATGGTCTATTTTACAGGACCCAAAACATCAGAACAGGACTAAGAGTTTGCAAAGTTAACAATGGAGGTTAGAGATGAACATTAAACACCAAGGAAAACCAAAACAAGAAAGCATGATCTTTCTGGAGATTGTCTTTATAATCTTAGCACTATATGCTTGGTGGTGAAAGATAAGGGAAACATGAGCAGTAGAATAATTGGAATTCTGTTGCTGGTGAAGTTAGATAAATCCTGTCTACTGTGATGTTCTTTTACATATGGCTTGAATGTGACCCAATAGGATCATTCATAATTGAAGTTTTGCCACTAATTAAAAAAATATTCTGCCTAATATGTATGTGAAATTCTATTTTAAATATGTTTATTTTAAGCAAAATCTTGTTGCTTATGTATTTACAACTTCATAGATGTTTTTACCAGAAGTAAATTTATGATGTCATAAAATAAAGTTTGAGAAAAAGGTGATGTTCCATTGAGAAAWTTCAAGAGTCATCTTGAACTGCTGTGTAGTTCTGGATAACAAAACAAATGTATTCAAAAATATATAATGCCTTTTAAAGTCAGTATATTTTGGGATAGGTGATTAAGTGCAGTGCTAAAACTTACAAATGGCTTTAATATACAAGTAAAAAATAAAGATTACATTTTAAAYTTTCCTTGAAAACTTTGAATATTGTTTTTATGTATAAATTTTGAACATTTGCCTGACCCTGATATTTATTCCTAAAAATATGTAATAAAATCTCAAATAATTAATACAATTAATTTAGAATTACTTTTAATGTAATTTTGAATTAAGGAATGTTTTTAAAATGCAGGGTTACTATGTTCAAACTAAAAAAGAACTAACTTTGGTTTAATGGAATGTTCTTTACATTAAATTTTAAGAAATCATTGGTATTTACTATATGTTTCATGTAGAAATAGATCGTCTACAATGATAAATAATTTGTTCTCAAGTCTGCCAAATATTTATCAYCTTATCGCTTTTGGGCTAATCATTTTTAACTGTCTTCAAATGACAAGTTTGTTCAAATTTCAGCCTGTCCTTATCTCCAATCAAATTAACAGAAAAGGCTATAATTAGTAATTTGAGATCTGTTACCACCCTTTTATTTCATTATTACTTTATTCTTTCATTTTTAAGCCATTTATATTTTTTGTAATATTTTTAAAAAATTAAGTWCTCAGTTCTCTAAGTTCAAATTTGGGAGTTCTCACTGAGAATTTATTCATCTTAGATTTTTCATAAAGTCAAAGAAAATGTTGGCATAGGGATTGAAGTTCACATACAACATGTCAAATAAAACCAGAAAATACTCAGTGAATTGACAATGAGTGATTTTTTTCCCCCAAAGATAGCACTCTGGAAGTCTATCCAGTTACTTCTGGTATACTTTYATATTAAATAATTTTTATTTCTATAATTACTTTCTTTCTGGCCTCTATTAACTTTTAGTTTTAATGGATTTGCTCTGAGACATATAAAAATAAATTTTCACTGTAAATATGCCACTTTGCTTCTTCTTCAGAACATCACAGGTAAAATTGTTTTGTTTTACTTTTCTTGTTTTTAATAAGTTTAATTCCTATATGAGTTATCTTCCAAATTTACAAATGAATCAGCTTTCTTTTACAAGTTGAAAGTAATAAGCTAGAAAATAAATTTTACAAAATAATTAAATAAGAAATACATTATTGATGGTGTGTTTCCTGTCTTGATTGGTTCTTTAATTTTGATTATTAGTGGCCTAATGAATATAGAACAGGGGTTGGGGATGTGGCTCAAGCGGTAGTGCGCTCGCCTGGCATTCGTGCGGCCCGGGTTCGATCCTCAGCACCACATACAAACAAAGATGTTGTGTCCACCAAAAACTAAAAGATAAATATTTTAAAAATTCTTTCTCCCTCTCTCTCTTTCTCTCTAAAAAAAWTGAATATAGTACAGATAATAAGTGTATGCGTATGTTTTTTTTCTCCTTTTTTTTTTTTAGGCCAAAAGGTGTGCTTTGCTGACTCAAASCATCCTTGCTACAAAATGGCCTACTTCCATGAACTGTCCAGCCGAGTGAGCTTTCAGGAGGCACGCCAGGCTTGTGAGAGTGAGGGAGGCATGCTCCTCAGCCTTGAGAATGAAGCAGAACAGAAGTTAATAGAGAGCATGCTGCAAAACCTGACAAAACCTGGGACAGGCATTTCTGATGGTGACTTCTGGATAGGGCTTTGGAGAAATGGAGATGGACAAACATCTGGTGCCTGCCCAGATCTCTACCAGTGGTCTGATGGAAGCAGTTCCCAGTACCGGTCAGTATGGATCCTAAAGAGTCCTGTGGTGCTCTGGGGAATGAAAATTCTGTTTCCTGTAAAGATGTCAGAAACCAACAAACAAAACTACTCAAAAGTGTTTCTGTCACTCTCTTCCTGCAGAAACTGGTACACTGATGAACCTTCCTGTGGAAGTGAAAAGTGTGTTGTGATGTATCATCAACCAACTGCCAATCCTGGCCTTGGAGGTCCTTACCTTTACCAATGGAATGATGACAGGTGTAACATGAAGCACAATTATATCTGCAAGTATGAACCAGGTAAGAAATAGCATCAGTAAGTAGAGAAGATTTTGTGCATATTTGCTCATATTAGGTTTTGTCTTTAAGCTTTGCTACCTTGGGCTTTTTTTTGTTGTTGTTGTTTTTCTGCTGTGAAATATAAATCACCTTGCAGCTTTTCCTATTGCTTGGCATAATGAAGCAAATTTGTGTCCTTTATAGCAAACTGTCCAATGAGCTAAATAGAAGGGAGTTAATAGAAACATCTGGAGAAGTATCTTTAAGAAAAAAAATAGTCATTAAAAAACACAAATTGTGTTTTTGTGATYGATTTTATTTTATAAACAATGTATATATTAAAATAGTTTAATATTTAGTGTAGTGGGTGGAAAGAAGGTATAAGCCAGCAAAGTTCCTATAGACTTATACATGCAGTGATAATCCTTCAGATGATTTCCTTTGAACCCAAGGGAACAAAGCAACTTTCTTCTGGAGTGTTAGTTTGGCATGCATAATACTTGGCATATGGTCCTTAGTAAAAATCTGTCTGATCATAGCTCCTTTCACCATAGTGAAAAAACTTAGAGACATTTAACACGTTCTCCCTCTGATTCCCATTCTTTGAATTATGCCTTCTTAATTAGCTTTCTTTTGAAACCTCTACTCACTTAACACACACAGCAAACAGGAAGATTGCATTGACCTAAGGTAGACTACTGTGGTTTCCTGCTTAAAATGGTAATTTTGAATGACTTTGAATAGGACACCTCAACTAAATTGATGTTTAACTGAAAGAAGAACTAATCAAAACTATGTAAACTCATATTTTTTTAATCATCTGACAAAGTCAAGTTAGATACTTAAGGTTTTTTGTTTTTTTGTGGCTGTTTTTCTGCACGGTATTTGAAAGTGTCATTTTAACTCCTCTAAAGGGCGGTCTGCTTGACCTTATAATATGTTTTCACAGGAGGCAATTATAACCAAGTACTGCTGTTTCCATTATTCTCTTGAAATTACATGATTTCTTTTTCTCATAAGACCATAAAGCGAAAGGGATTATTTGGATTAGATTTACCCTTCTTTCTGTTTACCCTGCTCTTGAGAATATTAGCCAACTTTGTATATCCCTGGTGAGTTTATTCTTTAACCTCTTTGGTTGTTAAATCCATCATTACCTTCCTGGAAGCCTTTCCAAAGCTAAGACTGTTATGTACTTTTGCTCTTCCTCTTTGTATTTTTCTCATGGAAAAATATAAAGGAGAGATACTCTAATATTTAAAATTTTTACCACTATGTACTTAAAAGTATTGGATGAAACAAAGAATACATTATAAGAACATTCTTAGTAAAATGTCTCCCTTGTGTTTCTTTTGACTTATTAGGTGAGCTACCTGATCATTTTATTTTACTATTATTTTATTTGCATTCAAACTTTCTCTGTTATGTACAACATAAGCAAACTTACAATATTATTTTCTTATTTTGTGTCARTAATCTAAGTTTATATTATTCATATAAAAGAATTTAAGACATTCTACATTCTGCCCAATCTTCAAATAATCTACATTTATTAAGTAAGACACCTTTTACATATTTACTGTTTCTTATCATATGCACAGGGTTAGAGTTGCTTTTATAAATGTGCTTAGAATTTTTATTCTTTATTTTAACATTTTACTCTTTGTTTTCTATGTAGTCAGGTTTCCTCAGACTTACTTCCTACTTTGTAGAGGATTTGGTTTCATTAATTCCCCAGGTTTGTAGTCACTGCTTGACTTTCAGTGGTGAGGAGTYAAAGGACTAAGGACTGTAACTAATTAAAAAATATAAATTATAACACTGATTATTTTGAACTTTATTTTCCAACTTTACTAGAACTACTAAGTGATATGAACTCTTGTCTCTCTGCTCCTGCACACCATCTAATAGTATTACCAGTGACATCAAAGTGGTGAAAAATATTAACCTTGCTAGGAAGAAACGGAATAATTCACTTTTAAACTTCTTTCTCTCCTCTCTTCCATTTTTTGTTAGTGGACTGTGAGTTGCATAACTGTTGCTTGGGTCTACCAATATCATCCAAAGATATTTTCATTAGGATAGATCTGAATCTAAAATTTATATATTAAAATTATCTTATGCASTCTTATTTTTAGATACTAAAAACATGTATGCAATTATGTTCCTAAAATTATATTTAATCAGCAATAATATAAAGGTTTGATGAAATTATTTAAAAAGTAACTAGCTCAATGTTGATTTATTGCATATTGTCTATAATTTGCTCAATAAATACCAGTTGACTACCTGAAGTCATAGAATGACTAACATCTGTAGAATATAGGTTAGAACTGAATCTGGAACCTAAAGGAGGCTATTAAAGTGTTAAATGACTAGAGACTCTATGGCAAGAAAAGAGTAGTAAACATCATTTTTAAAATATCCGTATTCTAAATATGATATAAGATATTGCACATGATTTTTCCCATCAACTGACAAAAGTAAACAGAATTACATTTTTAGAACAAATGAAAGCAAATTTATAGGTTTCTTCATTATAAAATTTACTTTCTCTAAATTATTAATAAATGAAATAATTCTTTAGATAAAAAATTCATTAAGTGGTTGTTACAGAAGCAGGTAATTGGTTCATGTGCTTGACTGTATCAAGTACAAAACTGCACTTTCAAGCACTTCTTCACATTGACCTCAGTAAAAAAGTTGTTATTGATTGGGGAAGTTGTGCTCTACATGTAGCAAATCATGGTAAGAAATTTTAACATTTAAAATTTTTGGTTAATGAAGAAATCTCATATCATAAAAGCAGAAAAGAAACAACTTCAAGCTTGAATTTATTATTGTAATATAAAGAAGTAAATCCTATTGGAAAGCAAGTTTAAGAATGGCATTGTTTGTGTAGGACAGGAATTTGCTTCAGAACATTGTTGAGTCTTGAATCACTGATTCAAAATGCAATCCATAAATAGTCATCTGCAGATTACTATACAAGAAGAAACCTAAATGTTAAATTGATGTTAGTAAATAGGTCATATTTGCTTGTCTTTGAATTGCATCTAAAGTCTCCTTCTTGTGTTTGCAAGTTCTTGCTTCTCTTTGTCCAACTTCGCTTCTGCTTTATCATTATTGCCTATAGCAGGGTGTCATCAACACAGACCTGCCCTCAATTGCTAAGTACAGTTTCAGAGGGAATTCATCAAGTGGATCTTTTAATTCAAGCATAATTTAAGTGTTGACTGTATAGTTAGAACATTTTATGTTAAGTTTAAATTCAGAACACATTCTTAGTTGTAAACAATTCAGAAATCAAAGTCAGTATGTTTTCACTGTTTTATAAAAAATATTTTTATCTGTTTGCATTTCTTTTAATTATTACTTATGATTTCTGCACTAATTATTTACAGAGATTAATCCAACAGAACCTGTAGAAAAGCCTTATCTTACAAACCAACCAGGAGACACCCATCAAAATGTGGTTGTTACTGAAGCAGGTAATTGGTTTACATGTATTGACTCTGTGGAGTACAGAACTTCACTTTCCAATATCGGTTTGTTTGACCCCCGTGAAATGGTTCTTGTTGCTTCGGGAAGAGGTACACTAAATACGGGCCAATGGGAGTTTAATTTTGAACTAATTTACAACAAATTATGCTATGCTACTCTTTTAGTAGAAGAACCTGCTTTTGTTTCTTAAGATTTACACTTCTAGGGAATATATCTGGTACTAAACTAAGTGATCCATGTGAAACCCTGGATCTACAAAGAATTTCTCCAATACAGGGGAAAATTTCATGCAATGCCTCCAAACAATGATGTGCTGGTAAATGGAGATTGTCTGAGTGAGATGTAAAATGAAAAGCCATATTTGTAGGCTTTTCCAATTTCTGTAATGTAAATATCGTTACCTGGCTAGTTTCAGACTACCAAAGTGACATCACCACATAGCACTTTGGGAAGAGATGAGTACTATGAGCTCTCCACTGCCTGCCTCCCGAATACCATTGCCTACTAAGAAAATGAAATGCAATACCCAATGCAAACTGCATTTTAATCAGAAACTGCTCTCAATACCAGTTAGGGGCTCTTTTTAGCATAACCCTATGCCAATTGGATAGAAGATTTCTTTTTATTAGTTGCTTTGCAAAGATTGAGCCCAAGACCCAAAGTCTCAAAATCTTTCTGCAAGTAATTCAAAATCCCTAAAATAATAAGAAATATTTACACTTTACCTTTATCATTATATATTAAATATGATAATGGTATTTTAAAAATAAAATATTTCATTAATTGTTAAAATGCTTTCTATCACTATTGGAGGCTCAAAAGAGGAGATGAAATATCCCCAAATTACCCTTTCACTAAATCTCACTAATATTTCTTCTGTTAAGAAAGAAAGGGATATGCAGTTAAAAGACTAGCTTGATCTTCATCTGGTTCACTTTGACCAGTTATTTAGATGAGTCATAATGACAGCTGAGAGCTTGCAAGCTAAATTCACGGGTTGTTCAATTTCCACTCCTTGTACAGGCGTGATATTAAGACAGTACTTTTCAGTTTCCAGGTGTATGATCTAAAAACTGCTCAGAATATCTAAACCTAATTAAAGATATCAGTAAATAATTATGTTAGGAATATTTCATCTTGTATAACATTGAAAAGATATCTAATAAAGTCATTTCATGCTGTGTAAGACTTGAGTGCTGCAGATTTTTTGTTTTAAATTTTACTAAGAATACCTAACATTATCAAGTGTGATGGGAAAGGATTAAAATGATTCATTTTAGAATTTAATTAAGATCATGTCTTTGTGCCTGTGGAGTCTTATGTCTCTGGGTTATGATTGTATCATTAGTTAATATTTACATATTTTGACTTAATCCYAGAGACTTGCATAATATCATGGCACTGTTTATTGGCTAGGATAATTATCCAATAAGTCAACAACAATCTTAATAATTATTCCTTAATAATCAGTGCTTGTTTCTCTAAGTAATGACTGAGGATTCATGAAATAAAGAAACCAAGATTACGAATAGATTATAAAAATTAGTCCATGTCTGAATTGCAGATTTAATAAAAGTTTTAAAAGTACAGATATTGAATTGGAGTATGACAATTGGTGGAGTAAAATTTAGTTTTTTAATTTTTACTAAAATATGGATATTTTATTTGATTAGATTTATAATAGTTTGGGATGAAACTTGTCTGGAATCTATTTACTGGTAATAGTTCTATTTGACCTTGATTTTTGGGGGGAAATTCTTATGTGATTGGTATTAGAATCCTTCCTCACTATCTTTGTACACTGTCTGTTTTACTTTTGTAGGCATAATTCCTAATCTAATTTATGTTATTATACCAACGATACCACTGCTTTTACTGATATTGGTTGCTTTTGGAACCTGCTGTTTCCAGATGCTACATAAAAGGTAAATAATTCATTTATGGAGAGACAACTTGAAAAACTTTAAATGCCTTTTTTAGACAGCTTTCTCATCACTGTGACCAAAAGACCTGATAGAAACACTGTAGAGTCAGAAGAGTTTATTTGGGACTTAGGGTTTCAGAGGTCTCAGTACATAGATGGCCCACTCCACAGCTCTGGGCCCAAGATGATGCAGAAAATCATGGCAAAGGAAAGCAGCTCAAGGTATGGCAGTCAAGAAGAAGAGAGAGCTGCACCCTTCAGGGACAAAGGCATGTGCCTTATGACTTACCTCTTCAAGCCACAGGCCTACCTGCCTACATTTACCACCCAGTTAATTTATCAGTGGATTAATGCACTGATTAGGTTAAAACACTCATAATCCKCCAGGTATGGTGGCAATCACCTATWATCCCAGCGATTGGGGAGATTGAGACAGGAGAATCTGTAGTTTAAAGCCAGCCTCAGCAAAAGAAAGGTGCTAAGCAACTCAGYGAGACTCTTATCTCTAAATAAAATACAAAATAAGGCTGGMGATGTGACTCAGTGGTAGAGTGCCTTAAGTTCAATCCCTGGTATCAAAGACCAAAAACAACAACAACAACAAAAACCCAAAGACACYCATAATCCAATCATTTCACCTCTATTCTTTCTTGCATTGTTTCACACATGATATGACACCTCATATCAAAACCATAATACGAGTATTCAGAAATCTTTAAAAAATATTACTGTAATATTAGTTATGTTTTAAATTTGGCTTCTGATGTTCATATCTGCCAATACAAATCCAGTACATTCAATCTTACACAATATACCTTGATTACAGAAGTCACACAGTGCACAGTTTAATCCTCACAACCTTATGAAGTAGGTGTTCTCTGTTTCTAGTTTTCAATTGGAAAGATGGTGCCTTAGGTGGTTAACTTAATCTGTCTTGGGTCCCACAAGTAGCATAGAGAAGGGATCTAAAATTTGAATGCTTATRAACTTAATAATAGATGCACTATGCTATACTCTCCACTAATTATTAAATATAAGAATTAATGCTAAGCCTTCCAATACTGACATCAATTTGTATGTAAAACTTGATTTTTGTAGATGTACTTATAGTACCTTTTCCAAATTCAAGTCATAGGATTYTGATTTTTTCCAAAGGGATATTCTAAGGATAGGAAAGAAAGTACAGTGGTAAAAATATCTCATTCTTTGGCAGGTCTTTGAAACAAAATCAACCTTAGAAACAGATTTCTGAGGAATATTCCACCTTTTCTATCTATTTATCCATACCCTTTCGTTAGAGAAGTTTTTCTTGTGTCAATTTGTCAATCAGATCTAAAAATGAAATATAAATAAGTAAAAGAAAAGAGCAAAAGATATTGGATTTCAAACTAAAAGCATTTTTGTTAGAAAAGCCTAAACATCTTTGTTGGAGTATTTTAGATGATACTGATCTTAAAGAATGCCTCAAACAGAGAAGGAGGATCTAATGAAATCATTCCTTAGATAAACCCCAAAGACTCCACTAAGTAACCAAAGACCCCAAAATAGTGTAGGTTAATGTAATTCACATACATTTTTAGAAGGATATAATCTGTAATTCCCTAGATGTAAAATCATTCTGAATAATGACAAATAGAGCCTGGCAAATCAGTATCATACCTGTGTCTTCCTGGCTTTCTAAWATGTATGTGGGACACAATGGAGGTTTATTTTTCAATATTGTGTACAGAATAAGGACAATAGTACATATGTAGTTGCTTGTCCTAATTCCTAAAACAATAGATGGAAAGATGATTTCTCATTGTGAAAATCTGTGAAGCAGAAGGATTGGATATAAGTCCCCTTCTAACCCGGCAWACTGTTAAGGAAGACCAGTGAGTGGCAGATCAGCTTGAGAAAATGATTTGAAAATATGAATTAGACATTCTCACCTGTAAAGTGAAAAGGGCTAAAAGTGCCAAGTAACTGCATTTTCTCAAAAATTTGTTTTGTTTTTCTCTCAAATAGTGCATTGTTATGGCAACTCTATTCATTCAAAATCTTGTAGGTTTACAAGGAAGCACAAAGATCTGTGGGCTTTACCATGTTTGAAATTCTCATAATGAGAGAATAAATGAAAAYTCAGCATTTCCCGATGCCGGAATTAACTACAGTACTTCATTCATTCATTCTTAGATCCTCCCCTTTTCCTTTCTTCCAGGAAAGCCAGGAGAAACTTCATCAAAGACTCAACTCCATTATCATCTGAATGCCTTGCAGAAAGTTTAAATTCCAATCTGGTACACATGATGGTTTCTGTCATTCCATGTCATGTTCAAAATAACTCTCATTCCCTTAACCAGCAGTGATTCTTAAATACTAATCTTACATAAAAGTCACATTAATAACTTAACCAGTTTTTTAACCATTTAAAAATATGGTTCTAATAAACTTTGCCTGACRTTTTGTATTTATGTTAGATGACTTTGTAGAATACAGTTATGTTTTTATTTATTGGGAGGAAAATCTACAAAATATAAAATTTGAATATAATATTTTTGTCATGAAACAGTTAAATTGAAGAGAATTAAATAATATTTAAAATACAATAGTAAGATGTGGTTAGAAATAGTTCTTCTCTTTGATGGAGTTCAGCAATGTCTGTGGATGGTGAGGATGGGATGGGAGAGGCATGCCAGTGGGGGCTAGGGAAGATACTGCAGKTTTCAGAGTTGATGCTCATGGGAAGAAATTAGTGCAGAACATAGTAAACAAGGACAGGTTAAGAACAGTGATTCAGGTGAGAGATTAACCTCGGAAAACTAGACCAAAGGAGTCCAGGTTTTGACAAGTAATCTGGTAGAGGACTTAAGAAAACATGAATACACACTTCTGTAGGTCCCTGGAAAGACCTATTACAGAGAGAAGTTAAACCACAAGCACAGGTTGGAAATGTGGGCTAGTGTTAGCTCTGACAAGAGTAAATTATAACTCAGATCTGGTGMAGAAACTCAGATCTTCCCAAATTACCAAAGCGTGGCTCTGCCAATGAACTTCATTGGTTTCAGAGGCTGAGGCATAGTTAAGTTTTTAGGGACCAAGTGACATAAGTATAGAACTGAAAAACTGATGGGAGGAAGGCCTAGGTGGCTCTTACACTTAGTACCAGAACAAGTTTTCTGATGATTTAATATTAAATGTGACATACATCCATGGAAGCATACTCAAAAAGCAAGATTATAAAAAAAGAAAAAAATCAATGACCAAGAACAAACACAAACACACACATGTTTACTGGGGAAAAATGGAAAATTTTTGTGTCAGACACATTTTTCTATCACCTTGAATTATGAAGATTCAGAGAAAGACACTTTTGGTGTTTGCCATCATAAGAATTGTTTGCCTTCTTTACACATTGGAATAATCCAGTATTTTTTGTAGGACTGGAAAAAATATGCTGATGAGAGAAGAAAGACTCATTTATAAATAAGTGTCTGAGAGATCTCCATTTGGACCAAGACTTGATTAGTTTGATAAGAAGTTTTAGGTGCTGAACTTATTTCTTTTTATGTTTTTCAGTAAAGGAAGAACAAAAACTAGCCCTAATCAGTCTACTTTGTGGATTTCAAAGAGTACCAGAAAGGAAAGTGGCATGGAAGTATAATAATATCTTGACTTGCCTCCAGAAAACAAAATTGTTTTATAATTCTGGATCAGCATAAGGAATGGCATCAGAACATTAKCTTGGAATGGCTTGAAATCTCAAAGGATCTGCAAGATGAACTGTAAGCTCCCCCTTGAGGCAAATATTCAAAGAACTTTTATATGTTTATTATTTCATTTATAAAATATGCTGTGCTAATAATGGAGTGAGACATGCTTATTTTGCTAAAGGATGCACCCAAACTTCAAGTAAATGGAATGGACCATGCAGATAAAATTGCTATCAACACATCAAGAGTATGTGTGTTGGAAGCAGTTATTTTTATTTTCTTTCACCTTTCATAGGTTGTAATCTAGTTAGAGTAAAGTAAATTGTATTGAAATTTACAGTGTGCAAAAATATTTTACCTTTGCATAAGTGTTTGATAAAAATGGACTGTTCTAATATTTATTTTTATGGCATTTCATTTTTCAATACATGCTGTTTTGATTAAAGAAGTCTATCACTGTTGTTAACTAAATTCACACATACTCACACACACAAATATACTACCATGGGGGTAAAAAATTCTTTTCTAGAAATTAATCATCTTCATTTGGTTTTTCTGCTTTTGGTTGGACAATGTTTAGGAAATATCTTCAGAAAGAAGCTGTTTCATTAACTGTGGTATAAATCTCCTGAAACACTTTACCTAGAGGCAAGCATTGTCTATTTCAATTGTGTAAGACATGTGCCTTACAATAATTTTTAGTTTAAAATTCAACAGATTTTGTAATAGAATAACTTTACTAATAGCTATATAAACAGTAATGCAGTCAGTAGTGAACAAAAGAAGCGACATACACAGTATAAATCATATGTCTTCACATGTTGCCTATATAATTRCAAGTAGCTCTCTGAGGGTTCTGGAATCAATATGGTCCTTCCCTTCCCCACCAAACAAAGGTGGTTGTTTGGGGTTTGGGATTGACTCTGGAGGCAGATRGCTGCAGCATTTGCCCTGGCTGAATTTAGCCTAAGTATATGAAGAGGTCTTAGAGTTGGGACCAGGTGAATGGTCGCCATCAATATGGAGCTAAGCACAGCACATCAAGTTTTCAGGATGGGAAAAGTACTACAAATTAGGTGAATGAGTGTCACATTGGTAGGAAGTTATTAGTGTCTGAATATTCATTGAAGAGGGTTTGTTTGCGCTAGTAAACAGTGGCTCCTTTCTGTCTTCTAATTTCTTCGATGCTTATTACTTGTTCTTCTCAAGATAGAGTTGTAACTATTTGGTCTTCAGATGTCCCTGTGCTCCTTTTAACCAAATAAAGAGTCCTTGTTTCTGAAAAATGATCCTTGGTGTTGTCTAAATTTCTTACGTGAACACAAAGTCGATATGTGGCATCACTACATGAAGATGAAAACTGTTCAAGTGTGGTAAGAATGAAAGTTGTGGGCACAGAGCTAACAGAAAAACTTTTCTTTGTTAATTCTTTTCAGTTGGATAATAAAATGCTGTAATTAAGCATTTCCTGGGGTTCATTGGCAAAATTGAGGTGTGGAATAGAAAACAGTAGTTACTGACCCTTTTTCAGGTGCTTTAAGACTGAGAGAATGGCCATCTGCAAGCTGAGCTTAGATCTGGCCTCATTTTGCAWTTCTTCTTTCCATGGCTACTCATCCCCATAGGAGGAACTGGAGACCAGCTGCTAGCACCTCCCTGTTCCATCCAAACTACCATCACACACTTCTTCCCTTATTCAGGACTTGATGAAAGGGAGACTAGGTTTCTCCTGTGTTTTGCCACCCAGGACTGTAACAGCTGCACAGCAGAAGCAGGCGAATGATGGAGACCAGCTTTGCTTTCTCCTTTATCTTTATCCAGGTCTGAATAACTCTTCTGGTATTAATGACTAAACCCATAAATGACTAAAGGTGGAAAAAGCAAACTCCTCTCTTATTAGAAGATGATACTGATTGTCCTAAGAGTTTTCTAAAAGTTTATCCGACTTTCGAAAATGAAAAGGAGAAGATGGTATATCTGTTGTGTTCATGTTTTCAGAGCACAGCTTTAATATGTGCTGGAAAATACAGAAGAAATTCGGAATAATGTTCAAGTACTAAACACAAACAACACAACCTATGCCTGCTGCTTCATCATTCCTGTTGACCAAGAATTAAAAAAAGTTCTTGAAGAGTGTGTTCAGGGGCTCCTGAATTTTGTCCTAAGAATAAAGTACACAGTTCTTTATGAGCATCTGTAGTCCTCCATCATGCTACACATTTTTATATGACATTTTCTCCTTGGTATGACTGTTACCAATGTGATGCTTTTGGTACCAGAATACATACTACTGACCACTCTTCCCAAACTTACAAGATTTCAGGGACCACCTTTGCAGTGGCCCTGCTACCCTATTAAATGAATCTGTAATAATCATTCCTTCTGGGCATAACTCAAACTTCCTTTCTTTCATAAGGCCAATCCATACGGACTAATCCCTTCTTCAAACTCCTCTAAATATCTCTCTCTTTTCCATCATATGCGTATGCAAGAATGTGTGTACATATGTGTTTTGCATTAAGTAAGTATAAATTTTGTGTACCCCAAATCAACAGATTCTGCGTGGTCAGCTAAATTGAAGTTTGCAGTTCCTCTGGAAATGATCCAAGACATTAAAGAAGCAAAGAAAATTCATTTATTACACATTTTTGGCCTTCTAATGGGCAATTCAGCTGTGTCTTAACAAGTTTTTCACATGCTAGAAATAYCAAGTATAATACACAAAAACCAAGAACAGAAAAAACATTTCTAACAGTTCTGTTTCTTTATTATGCCTGTTTATATTCTGAGACTTAAAAAGACTAGCTTAAAATAAGTGGATGGTATGATTTATCCAGGTAAAAATGATCTGTATAGACTAACCATATTTGTTAATTTATTTTTTGTTTTAATGCTAAGGTGATATAGATACCTGTGTGTATTTGCTGCTCAGTTTTATATGAGGRAAACAGGCAACTAATCATGTCACAATTAGGTCTGTGACATGAACTTACAATAAATATTTTATATGATCAGGKAAAATATTAAGTTTATGCTCAAGTTGAAATGGAAATTCATTGGGTGGAAAAGCAAGAAAAGTGTTGACATTCTGGAAATAACAAGCTAAACTGAAACCAGACAATTTASAGTAGTTTATTTCAAACAATGACATACTTTGGGCAATACAATTTATTTCGCTTCTTTTTTAAATTTTTATCAAACTTTTAAAAATGTGTGGCATGTGTTTTAAAATTAAATCAATGTAAATAACAGACAATGGCAAAAATAATAATTAAAAAACAAGGAATGATATCTGTGAAAGAAAATCTGTTCAGAATGAAATCAAAATTGAGAAGTTACTCTGTGTCACAAAGATTGATTTTAAGATTTTTGTATTTTGTCYCTTCCTCTCATTCCAGCACTTTAAGTGGCCTATACTAGAATAAATAAGGCTTGTGGTAACTTTTCTTTTTTACCCACAAAACTCTCAGTTTGTATGTTTCTTAGAGTGGGATAGGAAAACTGCCCACTTTCGTGTTTGTTTTCGGAAAGGCTTAATGTAGGAAACTCTGAATCCATTCTGTGAACCTTGTAACTCGGGCATACACCCCTGGGTGGTTAGGAAGGGCACACTTGTCTCCAAATGATGTCACACCAGCAAGGAGCCACCTGTTGTTTTCTTCGCACATTAATGGTCCTCCTGAATCTCCCTAAAAAGTGAGTCACATAAAAAGTTGTGGGTGTGTGTGGTTAATGAATGTAAACAGAAGAGATTGTGTTAAGCAAATCAATCAAAAATGAATATTTATAAATATGATTTATTGCAAGCCCTCTGTAGATGTTCTTACCATCACTCCAGGCCACAAATGAGAACCCATTGCTCCTCAATAGGAAGAAAGAGCAAATTATGACAACTCAAACATAATTTGTAATATTTTACAATACCCTAAAACTTTCTTTAATTATGGTGTTACACTCTAAAKCACAATAATGAATAGGAATGTAATTACTAGCAAAATATAAGTTGGTAATTTTTTAAAATAGATGCTATGTAAAAAACATCTTATGAAGGACTCCAGAAAAAAATATAACTGATTCCATATTGTGATTTAAACAATAACTTATACATGGTGTTGATCTTTGTACTCTTGAGTGGGATTAAATTTTTGGCACTGAAAAAAACACAATCAAATTTGAAAACCTCAACATTTCAAATGAAAGAGGCAAATCTTTGATATAATTCTATTAATAAGAACAWGTTTTCATCAGAGATTTCAACTGATGTAGAAAGGTTTTAATTTGAACAAATGCTAATTATAATTGATCCTAGTAAATTACACAACTTTTATTTGTGCACAATGATTCCTGAGTAATGATAATGATAATGGAACATGTATCATATTTAATGATGTAAAAGTGACAAGTATTTCTCCTATGTTAATTATGTGAACATTTTAGATTAATTTATTGCCTTTTTATGAAATAATTTAAAGTCTTATACACTTTGTTTAAATAGACTGGTGTAGAAGAATATTTCATTCTTAGATTTATGTTAGAAAAAATTAGAGAGACTTTTTGTCTGAATCTTTATCATCTCTGATCCCTCTATTTAAAGGAAAAAATGGGGTCTATCAAAGCACTTTTATTCTAATCTTGGGTGCACAGGAACATAAATTACATTGGCAATCACAGGTTACCTATATTCTAGATGTGAAAAATATATTCACATTGTTTGAAGGTAGGGACTATGATTTTTATTTCTGCATCCTAAGCCCTTACCATATATATATTTTTTTCAGGAATATTTATGAAACAATATTTATCCAAGATTTAAATTTCACATATAGTTTATGTCATTAAAAGTACATTTCAACTGCTTGAATRTTTTCAAGAGGAGTTATTTGATTTGCTTCATGTTTTCTAAAATAATTTAATTTTTATTTTAAGAGGGACCCAGACATTGATTATACAAACAAGGATTTTAGCTTACCCAGCCCATACTAGGTCAGTTGCTGTTATTCAAGACCAGGCAACAGGCTTGCTGCCTTTCTGGTGTGTGGTCTATCTGGCTGGGAGCCTGAGGTATGTATCCATCATGTACCATCATCTCACTAAGCATTTCAGTTTAGTTATGTACCTTCTTGTCTTAAATATCTAATATGCTCAATGATGGTACTTTCTTCTTCCACTCTGAAATATGTTACTTCAAAAATATGAATTAATATCAAGAAGACAAAGTATTAACTTGAAATATATTTTTCCACTCACATGTTATATTTATAAATAAACCTAAAAATTACTACCTTTTCTRAGTATAAGGGCTGGTAACCATTTTTGTTTTGAATCATGGTTCTGAAACTTAACTATCAGAATCACCAAAGGTGATAAATGTGGAGCTCACAATGCCAGACTCCTATCTCAGAGGTTCTGATTTAGCAGGTGTGTGATGAGACCAGAGGATCTGCACTTCTAAAAAGTTCTGAGGTGATGAAGATCTATCTGCTGGATTGAGGAAGGGTTTGAAAATTGCTAGTATGGAATGGTGAACAGAATGCCATCCCCTTAGTTTTACAGAGAGAAGTCATTCTCTAGTTATTGTTCTTACTTTTAAATCCAGACAAAATGCAAACCTTTGGTAATCCAGATGTTTAAGAACTTGTGAATGCATCATGAGGCAAATTCTGAGGTTAAAATCTTATGCTTCAAAGTTATTCAAACAATATATCAATAACAATTTTAAATAGTGTATTAATCAGTTAATCCTCTTATAAAACAGAGCATTAAAGTTGAACCAAGAAAATCATGTGACAATCTGAAGTAATGATTACTCAATTATGATAACATTTTGTTACATAAGGTATTTCCTTGTATATGAGAGATTTCTTACTTGTTGATGAATAGCATACTTACACTCTGAAATCAGAGCCAACCATAAGATCTAAAAGATCTGGCATGAGTTATCAGCTTAATGTGATCTTAACATCAATAGCATTAGCCATTGTATTTTCTGCTTAGTGAGTGAGGTGTCTGCCACACAATCCCCATTAACTATAATTGAGGTCTACAGCTGATTTCCCTCCTGCACAATAATTCTATAAATCTCCCCTTAAGTGGCAATATATCTTACCTTTAGTACATCTTTCATTTTAAATGGAAAGTATAAGATTCAGAGCTAATTTTTATACAAGAAAGCTATTCAATTTTACTTAAAATTGTGTGTTCATCAAAGCAGAATAAATGGAAAACTCAGTTGAAAGTTTAACATAACTTGAGACATTGATTTATGTGATTATATATATATATATATATATATATATATATATATATATATATATCTGCATAAGTATCTACAGTCTTGTCAAATTATAATATATATGTGTTAATAAATGAATCAAGTTGTTATATTTTAACACAGTGAAATCACTTTCCACAATACAGGTTTCTACTTCCACATGTATAAATAATTCACTTGGTCAGTAATGCTTTCAGGTTTAATCTAATTCAGCAGATGTTAATGCATTAATATTTTATTAATTTTTAGATACAGAAAACTTGCCAGAAAATGTATTTACTAAGTCTAAAACTAAAAGCTGTTAATATCTTTGAGTGCTTGCTTTGTGCCTTATAAATGAGATATCACTTAAACTTCTCAATAAATCTCAAGTGATTTGCCCAAAGTCTCACCAATAAGTGGTAAAGCCAGGGTCCAACAGGGAAGTCCAAACATAGAATCAAAAAATTTGTGAGTAAAGAAAGAAATTATCACAAGAATCATAAGTGTAATAACTAACCTATTGTTACACCTATAAATTGATTATGCTTTTAGAATTTAGTAGAACTTCTTATTTCTTAACTGTATGTGGATTTCATGGAGCTAAACAATGTCTACATTATTTCTAGGTGGTAAGATGTTTCACTGAGGTAGTAGGTAGGTAAGAGATTTCTTCTGATGGTCATATGGGTCAAAATCAACACTTCAAATTAATTGCAATAATGGCATTCCCACTGCATTGAGTACATGTTATGACATCTCTAAAATGGAATGTAAAAGATAAAAGAAATACTCTAGTGTAATACTTCTAGAGCCAAAATTATCCTAGGTTATTAATTTCTTTGTTCATTTTCCACTTGATTAGCTGTAACTGGCTTTTACCAGGCAACTCATGTTTGTTTTGTTTTTTCATCTAGAAGTTATTTTTGGTCACCAAACACCTGGACTATATTTTAAAAACAGGATTGAATATTAGAGAGCCACAGACTAAAATTTGCCCTCAGCCTTGATTTATTTGTTTTGCATTTTGCCTCTGGTTTAAAATGATTGAAAATTTGAAAATAGATGCTTTTAGATAAGGTACAAATTCTCTGAAATATTCCAGGTCCACTACTCCCCATTTTTATCTTGCCACCTTGCACATTCAAGTACTATACCTAAAGACATATGGTTTGTAATCCTTGTTCCTAAACATTAGTTTTGTTTCTAATGCTCAGGGCTACTGAGTAGTAGCATGCAAACAGGCAAAAAGTCACAATTTTGTAAAAGAAGAGGTGAAGTTAAGGGGTCTTGATGATTTCTTTACTCCCAAATTCTTGTTAAGCAATAAAATAATTAGGTAGCAATATTTTCTGAAAGTGTAAGGTGAACAGTTTTACATATTTACCTTGCAGGTATCTATTCCTCCTTCTTCATAGCCTGCACATATCATATTTTCAGTAATGTTATATGCTGGCATCTGTTGCTGACATTTCTCATTTGATAGAAGAGGAACATCAGCTTCTTGTAATATGTTTGCAGTAGGCCCTGTTYGGAATGGATAATGCAGGCAGCCAGTCAAAAGTGATCAGCATGCACCCCTGAATGAAGCACCATCAGTCTTATTTATTCCTGCATTTTGCTCTCATTATTGTGTAATGTGCGTATATATAATGGAACTAACTACTAACCTTGAACTTTAGAGCATATAATAAAGCCCATCTGTGGATTTTGACAAATGGGTTAACAGTAGTTCATTTTTTTTCYGTTTCCCAAGGGATACTTGGAAGGGTAGATTGGACTAGGGTGAGCTTTAGGCATTTTCAGTAATTTAAAACAGTTACAGTATTGCTCATGGAAATAAAGCCTGCCAAAACAAAGAGATCCACTCAGGGAAATTAGCAACAACATGGAAATTCAGAAGTGCTTTTCATTTGGCACCTGAGGAGGTGCTCCCTCCTGTATAATGGCATTCAGATTCTTTGTGGTGCTCTGTGAGTGAGCAGGTGCAAACCAAGCAGAGGACAAAGCTCAGTTGAACTGTGCCCTGGTCTAGGGGCAATCAGCTTGTCATCCACATGCAGGTGAATAGAAAGGAGACACACTGTAGCAGAGTGCATTTCCATTCTTTTTATAAAAGGATTCATTCACTGGGAGTATGAGTTTCTGTTTACTGAAATACTAATCCAAAGAGGAATGGAAACAAGCAGGTGTTAGTGACTTAGAAAAGGTACCCAATAAGCACTTTCTAATAATTTGCAATTCTATTTGGTTCTTTAAGACAGGCAAAACGTTGAGGATAAGTTAGTACATTTGACAGTGTTGTTGCAAAAATGAACATGAACTCACTCCTAGCTAAGTTTAATTCATGCACTAAAAAGGTTGAAGAAACAGACAAGTGCATACGTGTGCATGTGTGACTTAGGTGCAATGCAGTTTGTGTGACTCAATGGTGTGTTGGCAAATATGTAGCAAGAATTTCTCCAGGAAAAATMAAAATGTACCAGTTTGCTGCTATAAACCTTCCACCATAACTGACTTTAAAGAACAACRTGACAGTGAAAATAGAATTGGGAGGAGTCACACAAAAATGGCTACTAGCAGCCAGTGCCTCAATATCCAACAGCACATGATGGAATGGGATAAGTTTTACGGTTTGACAGGAGATTTTAAGTGAAGGAAAGATGGAGGAGCAAATTAAGCACATCACTGTCATCTATCCTATGAAAATCAAGGAATGGGCCGGTTGATTAAATTTTACAATAAAAACAAAAGGCATTTTTTTTTCTCCTAGCCAATGAATAGAAAATATATTTGAGTTGAGAATAAAATTATTTAATAAAGGAAAATTTGAACGGTATTCTTATATTTAATATTTATTTGTTCATATGAGGTGCCATGAGGATAGTTAAGTACATATGTGCCCCCCCCATAAACATTTCAGTAAAATTATTTTAAGCTTACTGATCATTTTAAAGAATATCACCTCTTTTCTTCCTAATGGACAATATGGTCATGGTTTTCTTGGCTAATTAATTAGTGCAATATACTCACAAGATGGGAACCTAGGATTTTATGAAATTAATTAGGTGGGACTCATAAGGCAAAGTTCATAAAATTCATTAAATTTGAAATCATCTGGGAAATATTAAACATGACCTGGATGTTTATTCCAAAATGAAGTTGATCTCAGATATGTTTTTTCCTTGTTTCATRCCATTCTTACAGACTTCCTGGTGTCAATTAAGCATATATTTTAGTTATAATAAATAAATGTGAACCTAGTTTTCTCAGCACAAAAATATTTCTTATGGAATAAAGAGTCTTAAATTTTGCTAGTGGACAATTTGGTTTTGTAGAGTCTATATGTGGCCATAAAATGCATTTTAGTTTGAAGTCTGAAAGAAAAATATCCATTTAGAAACCATTTTTACTATTTAAATTCTAAATTTAATAAATCATGCCATTTTCAAATGAAGGAAATATAAGAATATATAATCTTTGACTTTGATTTACTTTATGGACATGAGGCATTTTCAACAATATAATGTGATTGCTGGGGACAGCATTTACTGGTATCTGTAAGCAAGCATCTGACTCAGAACTTCATGCTTTTTCTAAGGAGAAGGGAAATTTTCAACATGAGTTCTTTAATTCTGCACCTCTCCACAAGATTTTTTAAATTATATTAAATAAATTGAAACTTTTAAAAATTATAGCTATAATTTCTTGTGACCACTGAGGCACTTCTATCGACTAAAGAGTCTTTCCTTTTGATTTACCATTATTAAATGTTCAAGTATGTCTTTGGTGGGATATTCCTGTTAGAAATAATGTTGTCAATCAATCTCATAGTCATATTTAAAGAGTATGGAGTACTGGAAAACTTTTTAAAAATTCAAGTTTGTATGTATATTTTGAGTTATAAATTCTGCTTTATTTTTAACTCATACATGAAAACATCAAAATCATACATATTAATGGAGAGCCATGTAATAATGTACATCAGGTAATGTTGAAATCAGGTTAAACTTATCTATATTCTCATTTATCACTACTTTACAGTAAAAACTTTCAAAATCCTTTCTTCTAGTTTTTTGAGTGTGCAATACATTATTGTTGGCTGTTTTCATGCTACTATGTAGACCAGAAGGTCTTTTTAACATACTCATGAGTGAGATTTTTGGAACTATATTGTGGTTTTATTTTTAATTTGGGGGCAATCCTCCATCTTTTTTTTTCCAATAATGTCTGTACTAATTTATCTTTCCACAAACAGTGTGCAGGGGGTCTTTTTTCTCCACATCCTCACCAGTACTTCTTATCATGCATCTTTTTTATAATTGCCATCCTTACTGGGTAAGGTGATGTCTCATCCTGGGTTTGATTTGAATTTCCCTGATGACTGGTGATGTTGTTTGGATATATTTAATATGTTTTGCATTTATAAAACATGTGAGTAAATAATAATGGGCATATTTCAATAGATAGTCCTTAATGTAAGATTCATGCTGTTTCTGAGTCCTCTTGCCACTAGGCAGTGTCAGTGTGTTGAAGCTAGAAAAAATTTCATTCTCATTTTAAGGAATTTGAGTAGGAGGTCTTTACATTATAAATGAAGATACTTCTATTGATTAGAGAAATGGCTTTTGATAAGACATTATCAATATACTTTACAAAAATAATTATCTATAATCTGGGATTATATTCATTTAAATGGTGCATCTTCTCTATTTGCCAGAGTGTTTATTATACAAAATATGAAATATTAAGTTTTGTGAAATATTTGTGATCTTTCTCAAGAGCATTATAGTCTTATAATATGCTCTACACAATCTATAAAAATTTAAAATACTATATGAATACACAATATGTTAATATAATCCTGACAATGCTTTTAAGAAATATAAAAAAATCATAGTATGAGTGTTTTTAAAAATGTTGAAAATATTCACAGGATAGTACAGTTGCATTCTTGTCATTAAAGGGCATGTCTGTTTTAAAAAATCTGCTCAGTTACCTTCATTCTCAATCATTCCCCATCCAGCTATAGAACAATTTCTTCCTGGAAGAAAAACTTGATTTTCTTCTGGTAAACAAATGGGTTGTATGTAATCTGAAAAAAAAAATTAAACAAAAAATAAAAACAGATACACATTTTCTTCTAACAAATTTAAAAAAATCAATATGTTCACCGTTTAGTTTCAAACACTTGTATTTTAGTTCTTCCTGCCTGAAAAACTTTCAAATGTCAATCATAGAAGAAAAAGGAATTTGAGAATAATACTTCTGTGACAATGGACTAGGTGCTACTGTTGGTCTTTGTGGGATTCTCTACATAGTCTCATAWTTACTCCTTTATATGGCAAATAATGTCATATTTAGGGAGTAAATTATTTTTATCTGCTTTTTAAATAATGATAGTACTCAGTGAATATAGAGCCAGATCTGTGAAATCTAGGTAAGGCTGATTTTCAGGATCAGTTACAAGAAACTTGGGTTAACATTATAAAGTTTTTAGATAATTGTTTGAGAGGGCACTTATGAAAGAACTAATATTAGTCACTGACTCTGAAAGTTCTTCTGCATCTAACTCCTTGGTGTTCACTTAGCACCTAGTACCTGTAAGATCCAAGTCAGACACAAAAAGGAAGAGGGTGTGGTGATTACCCTCAAGGACATGACCATGCAACTAACCACAGTAATCATCTGCCTTTGGTTAATGCTGTGATGCCTGTACAGATGGAATTTCATGAGAACACAGAAAGGGGAGCACTTCCTCTTAATTGGGCATTGGAAGACTTCAGAGCAAAGATTGGAATTGAGCAGAGGCCTTCAAGATAAAACTCCACTTTCTCAGGTGACTTTTGTAATATCATCTGTGMATTTGGAAGAAGTCCTTCATTTGCTAGTCTAGTAATATTATTTAATGTCTTTTAAAATCTTCATTACATGGATAATGCAATTCTTTACTCTGAGAACACATCCTTTTTWAAAAAAGTTTACATCTTAGTCTGTYCTTTTGATAGATGAACCCACCTGTCAATTACAGAAGAAATAGAGAAGGCATGAGTAATATTATGACCTATTTCTTAGTGCTGTTCCTTTGAGTTTACTGATATAGAAATCTCTAAGAGTTTCATTCTACTGATCCTTTATATAAGGTTGAATTTAAACACCTTGACAAAGGAAATTTAATATTTTTTTCTCTATTTCTCAATTCAACTTAAGTTATAATGACTTTGTGTCAGATTTTCCAATTTTTATAGGCTACTAATATGTTGATACTGATGATATTTCAAATCATATTTTGGGTTGATTTGAGAAGATAAAATAARTAAATAAAAGTGATTCCTTTTACCTGTATAATTAACTTTAACTTCAAGATGCATCATGGCAATATCACTGTCCTTTTCCCGTTTATTGTAATGAGGGTTTATGACAATTTGATCTATCAAGAGAGTTACTATCTGAGGAGAAGTCAAATTTGATCTCATGTTCAGGCCTAGGAGTGCTGTCCATTTGGATGGGTCCATATTTCGCCTAAAGTTGTAAAAAATAAGTATAAGCTTTGCTTTTCAAAGCAGTTACTCTGAAAAAGCTATCTAACTGCAAACAGTAGGAATTATGAATTTCCRTTCTGCAATATTCCTATATTTCTCTGTAGGATTTTTCTTTACAATATTTCATATTTGTTTCTATCATTCTTAATTCACATAAAATTGAACATATTTGTGGGGTACMATGTGATATTTCAATACATGCATAYATTAAATAATATTCACATCAGGATAAATGTATCATTATCTCCTCAAACATTTATTATTTCTTTGTGGTCAAAACATTCACAATCCTTTATTCTAGTTCTTGTGAAATATATAATACATAACTGTTATCCATAGTCACCCTACTGTGCAATAGCACACCCAAACTCATTTCTCCTACTTTAGCACCCTGGACACATCTTTCTCTTTTCTCCCTCCCTTCTACTCCCCCTTGAATACTCCAGGTTTCTTTGAGATCAAATTTTTAGATTGTAAAAAGGGTTAAATTTTTATATTTTGATAAGATGACAGAAAAAGCCTTAATTAGGACTAATCTCTGTGTCACTTCTCTCAAAGTATCTCTTGATCTTTAGTTATAGATTGTGATTCTCCAATCTAGATGTACATTAGAATCACCTGGAATGCCTTTAAATAATGTAAACAGTGGTTTCCCCCTTGTCTCTTCTAATTTAATGAGTATGGTATAGACCAGCAGGCAATTTTTAAAATRATTTAAAAATAAAAACTCCACATTTAGAGTAATATATAACCACATTTGAGGGCCTCTGAATTGGATTGAATTCTACCATGGGATCCTTCAGAAACCACAGCAGCTGATGTAGTAATAGAAGGAAGTTCAGAGACATTCTCCAATTTAGGGAGTCACTGAATTTACATAGAGTTAAGGTAAGCAGTAAAACTTATAATGATACTTACTCAAATAATTTCCACATACAAGGTTGGCTTTCAATAATGTATTGGTAAAGGATAATAATTGTGTTATAGGACAGATGAAATTAGATAGTAAATTATAATCTGAAAGTGTTTAAGGACTCCTAAATATGCTATTGGTCTGCAATATCTTTATGCCAAGAAATTTCCAGTGAATAGATGGAATTAAAGCCAATTAAGCTATGTTCACAACGAAGTCAAAATCCAGTGACTGAAATTATAGAGAAATYGATTCAATTCTTAGCAATTGCAAATGCCTAGTTTAGTGTGGTATTTAGATCGTTAAAATTCAAATCATCTGCAAATACAAAAAGGGCAATAAAACTATTTTAYATCTATCCATCTACTTTTTCATCTACCTATTCATCAAGAAGATCAAAATACTAAAAGAGATTCCATTTACATGTCTAAAAGTTTTTATTTTATTCCCCAAATTATCATGGTTGATCAAGTAACAGTTATCACTAAAAGCAATAGATAACTAAAGTTTCCAAAGAACACCTACTGACAGCACACTGTATTAAAACTGGTGATTTAAGGAGTAGTGGGTGGATGTGAACTAGGTTAGACTTTAGAGCCTGTGCATGCACCAGCAAACACCTAGTACAGCCATGGGTTCTGCAGGAGGGACTAGAAACTGGCAGGTAGGATTGAAGGTTTGGCAAGCAGGAAGGAGAGGCATGCTCTGCCATTGGATTACATGCTCAAGCAGGGGAGGTACTTCTGCTCCCAGTAGTTGCAGGCAGCTCCTGAAGTGGCCCAGATGCTGAGCTAGGAACATCTTCTAGTGCTATAGGGAAGAAGAAGGCCCTGTCTGCTTGTCATGAAGCCTTTCTGTTTTTCTTCTTCAAGCTAGAGGATTCATGCTTGGCACACATAATTTCTAACATGCTGAATACATTCTATTGTCACTGAACACTGGGACTCCCCTGTGTACTTTGGCCTACCTAGAGAGAAATCTCTTTCCTCTTGTCTTGTTTCTGAAATTTCTCCTCTATCTATCATATCTAAACTAGATTTCCTCAAGTTCAACTGCAAAGCTTTCCCCTGATTTGCCTATCTGTTAACACTGAGAGGAAGCTGATAATTATGCAGTTTTAAGAATTGTATGTTTTTCCTCAATATTTAATTTATGTATACACCCAGTATTTATAATAAATTAATCTTAAAATTACTACATTATAAATTTCTTACTTTATACTTCAATATTTCTTATATATTTTATATTATAATTATTTACATGACTTACATATGGAAYTAATATTTTATATTTATAGTGTATGCACATAAATTATCTCTATAAATAATATTTATTGTATCAACACTCTAACATTTAAATCATCACAATATTTGCTTAGAGTATATGAAACACATATATATATATTTTTGAAGTTAACAGAGTATATATTATCATTAAATTATAAGATATTTTCTCAAGTGTTTTCTATATATTATATCTTCAGAATATATCATATGGAAGTGCATAAAAGCATATTAAGTTAATTTGTTACAGATTTAAACTAGTATTAAATTAAAGCAATTTRGAAAAAGGATAGCTGAACTCCTAAATTCATATCTCTTTTGTAAGAACTATATTTGAGAACTAATAAATGTGTTACTGATGAGAGTGTAAGTAACGTAGATTTTAGCAATTACTATTTCCTCTCATTATTTTGAAGTCCTGAGTAGAAAACTGATATATGAACCATGAGCTGTGAAGGYTAAATATACATGCTTCAAGCTAGTGTCTAATTAAATGCAATTTATGACAAGATTAATCTGACATATTCTTGATCATTTATAAAATTGTTATTGTGCTGCATGGAAAATAGCCTCCTTTTTCATGTTACTTCTTTCAGCACCTGTAAGTAGTTCCATGGTTAGGAAAAAATCCCTTCAATACATGTTATTTACATTTATCTCTCAAGTCCTGCTCAGAAACCCTTCTGTGCCTATGAACTTAACTTTCTCACAACAAGTCCATGACCAGCACAACCAGCACTGCTAACACTCCATCCTGTGGCAATCCCAGAGCCTTTCCTCAGTGGAGAGTGACTGGAGAAACCAGATGTGACAGCCAGTGCTTTCAAACTTTTATAAATCACTTGAGAAATTTTCCCAAACTTAGATTCCTGGTTTTCATCTTCAGAGACTAATCTGGAGGGTCTAAGTGGGTTTCAAGAATTGGTGCTTTTTAATCACTGGGATACTGGACAATGCAAAAGCTTTCTTAGCTTTTTCATTAACCCAAAGCTGAGGGATGAGAGAAGAAACCCATTAGAGATATAAATTCTTATTCAGGTGAAAAGAAGAGAATTAGTATGTTTTAAAATTATTCTGGTCTCAAATAGTTTACAGTCTAATTAAGAGAGGAAGAGCTACAGGATGGAAGATAGAAGGGCATGGGGAAAAGAGATGATCCTACTGGACAGACAAACCTCAACCCACAGAGGTTAACAATGGGAGATACAAGGCGGCATTGGACAAGAACGTTGGCTGGTTCCACCATATTTCACCTCCATTTTTACTGTAAACAAATGTTTATCCCAATGTCAGGGAGAGTAGGTTGGGAGGGAATAGACAGGAATGCCCTCCTGACTTCTGGAACCTCAAAACTAGCACATTTCCTAGCACACAAGTGGTGCACTGGATGGGTGAACCAATGCTATCCCTGAACTATGCTGCTATGTGTTACTGTGTAAATAACTTTATTGCCCTGAGAGTCAATATTTTAGAAAGTAAATATAGTAAAATAACTGTGCTAGAGAAACACAATATGTTAAACGAGAAAAAAAAATCAATGGGGGTTCATAAATGTAAATTGAAATTTTTTTTGTGTGTGTGTGTACTAAAAATGGTGCAAAACAGCACCTCAGCAAGTTTGTCCACAGCCAGCACTAATGTGTACTCCCAGAGGAGTGTTTTTGTTCTCTATTTTTATCRTCTTTTGCAAAAGATAATAAAAATTCTCGGAAGATAGCCAACTTCTAATTTATAAGACAAATAAAAATTAGGATGTTTCCAAAATATAGGTTTGGTGCCAGAGAATAAGAAAGCTTTAGAGGAAATCTGAAAGAACAAAGAGTAAATGGGATAACACCAGCCACGTTCATCAATCTGATCATCAGCATAATTATCCTAGTTAACAAAGTAAGCTGTTTATGAAAGGACATGGATCTGGAATGCATGTTCAAAAGGTAGTTGTGAGTGAAACGGGGGTGGGAAAATTGGATATGTTCAATTTTTAATTCTTTCCCAAATAAGGAAAATACTTTTATTATATGTGCTTTTATTTCATCTATTAAGTAGAATTCTGTTCTTAAGATGTAGGTACACATGTAATTATTTAAGGCACCAGGARTGGTAAGTACAGATAACTGGGAGTAAGGTATATAAACCTCAGCAGTTTTTGACYTTGTGCTATTCACAGAAACTTAAGGAACCATCTTTGAATTCCATCTTCACTTGACTTCCAAGACTCTCCACGCACTTGTAATTTTCCTTTTGTTTCATTCCTTATTGTTTTCTCCACTTTTTCCCCCAGTTGCCTTTCTGTTTTCAAACTCTCTATATTAGAATACTCCTGGATTTCACCTTTGTCTTCTATTCTCCATCTATACTCAGTCCATACATGATCTTATCCAGTGCTACCATCACTTTAAATACCTGAAATATACTTGAAACTTACAAACTTTTATCGCAATTATTGCATTTCTGAAATTTAGGTTAGCATACTAATTAATCTGTATGAGTAGAAATGTCCAACTTACATGTATAAAATGAGAACAGTTATTTCCTTGCTAATTCTATTTCTTCCAATTTTCCTCATTTCATTCATTGGGAATATATCAAACTCACCCTGCTGCTTACTGTTTCAATCAAAYTTTTTGTTGTTGTTGCTGTGAACRAAAGACCTGACAAGAACAATTTTAGAGGAGGAAAAATTCATATGGTGCCCCGAGGTCTTTGCTTCAGAGGTCTTAGTTCATGGATGGTGTATTCCATTGCTTGGGCCAAGGTGAGGTAGACCATCAAGATAAAAAGGGT